TCGACGTAACTTTCTGACTCGATATGGCCTTAAGTGCCGCTTGGCTGTCTGACATTATTTGAATATGCTGATTTTCGACAGCTCTTTCATTGTTCGTTTTTGCACATTGCAAAATTGCGTATACCTCGACCTGAAATACCGAGGAATGTATTCCTATAGCATAGCTATGGTTAGTATCAAGATTTTTGGAGATTACTCCCGCCCCAGTGCCTTTCGCAGTCTTAGACCCGTCTGTATACCAGGTTTGTTCCTGTCGTTGGGCATTAGGGTCCCTTATGGTGATCTCCGCTCTTTCCTGTATTAAAACCTCAAATGGAATATTAAAAGAGTACCTCTTGGTTATGTGATCTGATCTCATGTCTAGCACGTCTCCTGTCACTAACCTTGAGATACTCATGTGACCTGGTCTAATGTCAAGATTTCCCAGTGTATTCCCTAATCTGTAAGCACCTAATCTTGCCTCTCCTTGTATCACATAGTGAAGAGGTGGGAGTCCTATTAGTGCTTCCATTGCAGCAGTGGGGGTTGTTTTCATTGCCCCCGTTATTCCGAGGCAGGCAAGTCTTTGTACCTTGCTTAGCCTCATTATTGCTTTCCTTTGCTGTGTCTTTGGCCACCACACCAAAGCTGCGTATGTTATTATCGGTCTTACCACCACGTTATAAAGTCAATATATCATGTCTGGTTTTAACCCCTATTTTTTCCAAAGGATCGCCTTGCCATCATTAACGAGGTTTCCGCTCTCCTTGTGTTTTTTTCTAGATGCTGGTTCCAGGTAAGTCTCGAGTCAATCATAACCCCGAGATATTTTACCTCCCCCTTAAGCTGGATGCTTGCACTTCTTAGGTTTAGAGGCCCTAGTCCCTCCTAATTTTGTTAAAAGACTTTGTATATTTACTTGTCACATTTTCCTTCACTTTTTCAAATCACCCAGTATAATATTTATGCTTCTACTAATTATTTATTTAATTTCTCCTTCTTCCATTTTCTTCTGTATGCCGTACAAAGTACCTCTTAAAATTTTATGGTTTCATCGTAAAGACCGGAGAAGTTGAACAGACCCTGTATTTTATTTGTTTTTTTTAAAGAATTATTATTTAGTTTGGCGTAGTTTTTAAAAAACACCCTACAAAATTCACGTCTTTACAGAATTTTCATAACATTTTCTAATGTGATGTTATTTTCATGTTCTTAAACAACAATCTTAAAATTGTTTTTGTCACAAATGCAATTTTAAATTATTTTCTAAAAATTTTAAACATATTCTTTCATCCCAATTTTCGCATAAATAATTTTTTTAAACAATTATTGTCACTGAAGATGTAAATATTATGGCGTGCCGTTTTGATCTGATGCTTGGTAGGATTCCCCACTCGACCATTCACTGTTGGGTACTAATTAACAGTGCTGTTCCTAAAGTGGCGCTGGGAAACAGTAACAAAGCCTACACATAACACGAGGCTAATAACCGTAGCAGTTGATGCCGATGACACAAAAAAAAATAACATCGTAAAATTTAATTCCGTAATTATTCTCTTAGAGAATTAAAATTTCGTATTTCATAATTTTAATACACGTATTTCCATTATGAAAAACATAATAGAACTTGCCGATTTAAAATTGTAATACATAATAGAAATTCAATAAAATAGAGAGTTATTGCAAATTGCAAGTTCACTTAAGGTCAGTCTGTTCCAGCAACGAACAGAAACCAGTCAGTGACACCAACATTCTGCACAGTAAAAAATTTGGCGGTCCCAATAATCTACTGCGCAGAATCTTGCTGTCAGTTACTGGTTTCTGATCGTTGTTGGAACAGACCAATTAGTGCCTCTCTTATTTTGACATCTAAGCATGAGCAGATCGTTTATGTTCTAAAACTGACTTTATTGAAGATTGTGCCTGTCCTAAATTGTGAATGTCTAAGGACAGCAGCAGGGTTATTCTACTAAATTTATAGCCCGGCTACAAGTTGGATTTTGGCTTGAACTTTATATGTTCCTAACTTCAAAATCCAACTTGTAGCCGGGCTATAAACTTTTAGCCGGGCTATAAATTTAGTAGAATAACCCTGCAGGTATCCATAAGGATTTACCAAAACCGGTTCCCCACATATTTCTATTTAATGTTTCAAAAAAATACTCATCTATCATTACACGACTTAAGATCAACCATGGATGTTTCCCGGCCCATCTGCATAAGATAGGAATAATAGAGTCGCCTATTTGTCAACATGATAATGAAATTGCTGATTTGAATCACCTGTTTTTTAATTGTAAAATAAATCCAGGAAGTACTAACTTCATGGACAAACTAAATAAGTTAAATTTACAATTTCCCACCAACATTCAAGTTTTACTGGCAACGGAGAATAAACAAATTTACAACTTAATAGTAGAATTTATCTCAATAAATAAAATTTCCATTTAATTAGGTTAATTATTATTTAATTAAACATTAAAATGTTGTGTGTGGCTAAAGGATCAATATCCAAAGCCAAAAAAAAAAAAAAAAAAAAAAAAAAAAACCCTGCAGGTAGTGGCGACTTTATAGCTTTTGGGTGCACTAGCCGACATTCGTATCCGTTCAAAGTTTTCTAATATTAAATATTTAATATAATCGTCATCTAAACCTTCTAAAATTATAATTTCTAATGCCTCTTCAATATTATGTACTATTATAGACAACAAAAAAGATGAACTATAATTTAAAGTTATTAAAATGAGGTTAGAAATAAGTATAAGGACAAGGATTCTAATGTCAAAATTTCAGGTTTGCAATAAGTCTGATTTTTAACCGACTTCAAAAAAGGAGGAGGTTATCAATTCGTCGCGATATTTTTTTTTTTTTTTTATGTATGTTCAGCGATTATTCTTTAACACGGTTTCCGATTTCAATGATTCTTTTTTTGTTAGAAAGGGGCTACTTCAGGGGTGGTCCCATATAAATTTAGTCAAAATCTAATAATTGGGTCCATGAGAAAATCCTCAAACTCTTAATTTTTTATGTATGTTTAGCGATAATGCTTTACCACCTTGTCCGATTTATATGATTCTTTTTTTGTTAGTAAGGGGTTACCTCAGGGGTGATCCCATGTAAATTTGGTTAAGATGTGGTAATGGCATCTGTACGTTTTTGAAGTCGGTTTTTTAAATTTTTAATTTACACTTGTAGCATGGAATTTATTTGACTTTAATTACGATGTCACTATAAGTGACTGGCGTTATAGAAATTTGCAATATCTCTAATAAGCTTATATGTCTACTCACCTGTAACATCAAAAATTGACATAGTTTCTAAAGTTGTTGTTACCAAAGAATACATACCGAAGAAGCGAAACTGAATGAGTTTTCGTATGTGCCAAAGCAAGGGAACTTAATACACTGGGAAACGTATGAAAATTTTTGTCGTTTGGTTCATAAGAATTAAACAGTAACAATGACAGACAAAAAATTCTTACTATGTTCATTATGTAAAATAGATTATTTTAATAACGAAATAAGGTAGTTACAATAATGCCACAGTCACTATACAACAGCGTAAGCAAATGACCAGGGGCCTATTTCATAAAACTACATTGTAACTTCTCACTTTGCACTTTGCAATTTACGAGTACAAAATATTTGTGTTTTATAAAATAATATCGTTAACTTTGCAGATTATTAATTTTTCTTTTTCAATTTTTAAATTGTGTTTCAAATTTTACTTTTTAATTCATCATGATTATCCTTTATAAAACATAAATTTAGTAAAATATGCAAAGTACAAAGTTGCAAATTAGTTTTATTAAATAGGTCCCTGGTCATTCTGCAAATAGGAAAGTTTGGGAACAATTATGGAACAGTGGTGCAAGGACCATTCACTGCCAAGAAGACAGAAATGCTCCTTTTCACAAAAAAAGGGATGAAAATGGAATTAAAACCTCCAAAGCTCCTAAACACAAAACAAAACTTTGCAACAGAGGTAAAGTATCTTGGCAACAAGTTAACGTGGAACTCACACTTAGAAAACATAATCAAAAGAGCATACATTGCTTATGAACAATGCCGCCGGACCGTGGGGCGCACCTGGGGATTCTCCCCCAGAGTCGCTACAAATTGTATTTTCTGAAACATATGCAGTGCTTAAAATATAAAAAAATTAAAACTATTTGGCCGAAAAAATCAAAGACCTTTTTATTTATATATTTAAAGATCATTCCCTTGTAAAACTCAAGAAAAGATGGGATGAAACCAGAAACTGTAGCGTTGCCAGGGAGCTTTTAAATTATCCTAACAACACTATAGCAAACAAATACTTGACTATGACTAGACAGAATCTGCGCTTGATAACAGGAATTCTGACTGGTCATTGCCAAGCACTGAAGCATTTCCATATCATGGGACTGTCAGAATCCGCACCCTGCAAGGGGTGCCAACAAGAAGATGAGACCATTGAGCATATCCAATACATTTATTAGAAGATTTGTTTTCGGCGAGTATTGGCTAATACCGGCCGATATAAGAAAAACAACTCTTGGTGATAAATTTTAAAAATAAAACATTTACAGCCGGATGCAAGAACGTTCATTAAAATTTACGAACAACGCAATGTATTTTTTTTTCACGTATTAAAAATCTTAAAACTATCTAATTTCTAATTACTACTTAGTTAAATACAACTACTTAACTGTACTGCAATTTTCACAAGAGACTAATAATAATGTACCAAACGTTACTCTACATTAATTGATAGCTATATTTGACGTTAAACCACCTCTAAAACACTGAGAAAACTTGGCAGTTTTTTGTCCACGAATTGCCCATTTAGTTTCGCTTCTTGGGTAGGTATTCTTTGGTTGTTACATAATGGTAGTATTGATTTATAAGTAAGTCATGCTGGATCAAATGACCCCTTGAACATTCTCGATTGGCTTGTAGTCTACTACAAGCAATTGCTTTTAAATGTGATGTAATTTTATTTTTTTGTATTAGTTACATTTTTCATTTTTTTTTTTTTAGCTATACATGACACAATCTTAGCGACTCAACTGAGGCATATAAATAGGGAACTTACACCTACCATTTCCGAAGTGTACCATGAAAGAAATATTGGGCTGGGATTAGCTCCACCGTTATCCAAATTGCTGTTGAATCAACAGTCGCAGCCTGTTATTAAGACTGATAGTTCTGTATTAGAAAAAATTACTCTAGGTAAGTTAGATAGAGTAGAGTCTATTTTATTTGTTTGGCATATACGCATTCTACTTATATTACAACAGCGAAAATACGGTAAGTATAACCATAAAATGAACGATTTACCGAGATGTATGTTGTTTTCTGTTTTGCTTCCGTCATGGTCGCGTTAGTTACTGTTCAGTGACGAAGCACGCTCAACATGTATTTTGTCCTTTCAAACCGTGAAATTTTAATTTTAAATCGAAATATATCTGGAAGATCAATAAATAGAAAAATAGAGAATTTGTTCTCAATTGATTGGAGTACTTTTTGAAGGAGAAAGAAAAACAATGAACCTTTGACAGCAATTTCAAGAATTTCCATTTGTTTATAATTCAGATTACACAATGACACTAATGATGTATATAGTTATATATTGCTCACTCATATGTATGGAGTGCAGAGATAAGGGTATATATTCTCGAAATGTATAGCTTAAAAATTAAAAACTACATCATGAAAAGCCATCGTAAAAAGCGACTGAGCTTATAGTCGTAGAGAAATGTTGATAATTGACAATAGTGCTTTTCGTCGACTGATTTACATATGGGTGAGCTATCTATATAGCTATATATCATTGGATCACACAACACTAATTCTCGCTCGTGCGCGTCCGGACAGAACTTGAGAGAGGAGCGCTAGAGCTCTTCTAGAAATACGGAGATTTGCACAGCTCGTGACATTCACTAGTGAGTTCAGGGCCGAAGATACACGGAATCCCACTGAGTCCAGTACCCTTTAATGGTTCCACTATATTTGGCGTAGATTTTCCTGTCTCGAAAATGTCACAGTTAGAATTGATAAATTCTTTGACTTTTCTAAGTTCTTCAGCTGTCAGGTGGTCATAATTTTTACTAGTTGTTTTACAAAGCTGGCGTCAACTGAGTTACTTGTGGTGACTTTCTCCGTGGAACGTTCTTCGGACTTAATTATGTTTTCCACCGGTGTACAGAGCCCTATTGCTTTTCCCCTTTCTTCAGTTTAAATGGTCTCGATAAATTGGCAACCATTACTGGAATTAGTTGATCTACGAGATATCTAGCTACCAGAATTTTGTCACTCACAGATTCTTTACTTTCCACAATACCCACATGTAAGCCGTGTGATTTCTCGCTGTCTCGCTGAGACGACAGCTTTAGAATTTTGGGGTACTTCTATGTCTTCTTCCAGTAGAACCTTTATCGGTTGAGTCTTTTCTTCAGAATTTAGGACAATTTCCTCGTTTCTAATTACCAAGATCTTGTTTTGAAGGTCGATAACTTATTGTGTATATCCATACCAAGGACACACTTATCCATTATATCGGCTACTAGAAATAAGTGTTCTATCAGGGTATTACCAATCTATATGGTTGCTGATATCTCGCCTAGAACAGGAGTAGTGTGCCCTGTAGCTGTTTCCAGAACAGCTTCTTCGAGTTGGTCGTGGTTTTCAATGCAGGATCCCTGTTCGAATGAAAGACTTGGTTGCACAAGTATCAAGGACGAAGGTGACTTCTTGGTTATTGATATATCCTTTAACCAATAGATTTTGTTCGTTTTTATTTAAGTTATATGTGCGAATTTTGGGGCCCTCTGTCACAGTCCACGCCTGCACCGTAGTGTCGACCTTTATTCCCAGCTAGCACAAAATCATCCCATCTACGTTAATAAGCTGCAATTTTAGGCTCTTTAAGCTCGCATGCAATGTACTTTTACTGTAACCCTATTATCCCTGCAACCACCGAATGTCCGCAACGGCAAGACTTTTATAGCACATCTCACAGAGGTTACAAAATTGAAGTTCGGCAAACATCACACTAGCACTTTTACGGTACTTACCCCGAAAGTTGCTCTGAAACTTTCTATAGATGTTATAATGTGAATTGATTCTACAGCATTATACAGTGTGTCCATGGATGGATTTAACAATACTTGTATAAAAATATTTATTTTAAATTTAAAAGTATTTCTTCATAATTTCTTTTGCTTGTTAAATAAATACGATTAACCTTGAGAAATTATGAAAAAGACCTCTTGAAAAATTTAAAATAAATATTTTTAAAACCAAATTTGGTAGATTTTCACACTTTTATTTTAAAAATAAAAATAAAAAAAAAAAAAAACACTAACATGACATATGTTTCGAAGTACAACTTCTTTTTCAAATGTGACTATTTACAATTCGGTATCCAATATATATACGAAATAATTTAACAAAACAAAGTACTTAAGAAAACATCAATAACATTACAAAATAAACTAACTATTTAAAGTAAATAAGGGTACTTAGGTAATTATAATATCCATCAAATAACAATAAGATAGCCCATTACCGGGATTATCTCACAGAAAACTGGGAAAGAGATTTAATAAGGGTGAATTATTAATATCTAATTGATCATTTAGTAAGTTATCTGAATTTTTAAATCTATTTATTTCAAGTGTTTCTAAATGGTTTAATTTAAGACTCTTATTTTCTACATGTAAAATTTCAAAGTTGTCTGTAAAAGAATGATTTTCAGCTAAAATATGATTTGAGTAAGTAGAATTATTTTTGTTTTTTGTATAGCTATTATAATGTTCGGAATAGCGTTTTTTGAAAGTACGGCCTGTTTGACCAATATACAATTTTGGACAAATACCACAATTTAATTTATATACCCCCGATTTATTATTAGGATTAATTTTACCCTTATTGTTTTTAATATATTTCTGAAGCGTATTGTTGGTTTTAAAAGCTACGTTAATATTTTGGTTTTTTAAATATGATGATACCTTTTCACTAGGAGCTCCTATATATGTAAGACTCTTATACTGCAAATCATTCTTTTACAGACAACTTTGAAATTTTACATATAGAAAATAAGAGTCTTAAATTAAACCATTTAGAAACACTTGAAATAAATAGATTTAAAAATTCAGATAACTTACTAAATGATCAATTAGATATTAATAATTCACCCTTATTAAATCTCTTTCCCAGTTTTCTGTGAGATAATCCCGGTAATGGGCTATCTTATTGTTATTTGATGGATATTATAATTACCTAAGTACCCTTATTTACTTTAAATAGTTAGTTTATTTTGTAATGTTATTGATGTTTTCTTAAGTACTTTGTTTTGTTAAATTATTTCGTATATATATTGGATACCGAATTGTAAATAGTCACATTTGAAAAAGAAGTTGTACTTCGAAACATATGTCATGTTAGTGTTTTTTTTTTTTTTTTAAATTTTTATTTTTAAAATAAAAGTGTGAAAATCTACCAAATTTGGTTTTACTCTTTCAAAATTAAATGGATTTTCATCAAGTAAAGGCCGAAACAATAAATAATTTAAAATAAATATCTTTACAAGTATAGTTATGTCCATCCTTGGATACACTATATTCAAAATAGTATATTGAGGATATAGTAAAATCTGAAGAAAACAAAATAAAAAATTGTATAAATTTATTATTAAAAAGCTTTTGAAATCAAGAACCAATATCATACAAGTAGAGGTAGGTATTAATAATATAGGTTAAAAAAAACAGTGACAAATTGGACAAAAGTAGGTATAAAGGGTATAAGGAATATCTCAAAGGTTCACTAGAATCGAAAACACTGAACGCTTGCACGAAAGAGTATAATAAGGTACCTATATTGCAAAGGTTCACTGGTAGCTAAAATGGTGCACGATTGTACAAAAGTAGTAAAAAGTGTGTTTATATAAGGTATATTTCAAAGGTCACTAGATTTTTATTAAGATGGCAGTTGAAGGATGCTAAAAAAAGATATTTGCCTACAACTGGTACTAATCATAGTTTTAATATGATATAACTTACTTAAACTGAATATTGATAAATGTAAAGTCATAAGGTTTAATAAAACAGCTAATATCATTATGCATGATTGTCATTGCAGGTTCTGAACTAAGTTTTAAGCAAACTATAAATGATCTTGATGTTATTTTTGAGAGGGACCTATAAGAGTTTGGAATGCAGATGTCGAGAAGCATCATTTGTTTTCCTGTATAAGTTATTGAACGGTTTGATTGATAGTGACAGCCTGGTACACTTTATTAGATTCCTTGTTCCTGCCAGACTTACTAGGCATATGAAACTATTTTATGTAAATGCTCATAGAACTAACTGGACAGAATTTATTTGTAGACCAACTGATGTCCAATTACAATAAGTATTTTTCAAATTATGACATTTTAAAAGGTTTATTTTTTAAAGTGTCAACTTTTATTACACTATTGACTTCATTTTTATACTGTGACAATTTTATTAATTTCTTTTTTATTTTATTTATTTTAACCATTTAGAACTTTATGTATCCGTAGCGTACTGTAAGCAAATAAATATAAATAAAATAAATGTTAAATAGGATAATACGTATCGATTTGTATTAACCATGTAATAAGGCCTTTGTCTGTTTGGTTAAAAATAAATAAATAAATAAATAAATAAATAAATGTGAACTTAATTACATAGTTTCTTCCGTAAAAATAACTTTGTAGATAAAAAATTTACTTGTTTAATTATTATTAAGAAAATAATATATATATATATATATATATATATATATATATATATATATATATATATATATATATATATATATATATATATATATATATATATAAAGAAAATAAAAAATATGCTCGTTTAAATCGTTGCACCTATTTTTAGTTGATTTTTACTTACTTTGTTTTTTTAAATAAATAATAACATTTATTTTGACTTTTACAAATTTGATACTTAATAATGGTTGTTCAACTTATACAGAACAATGTTTTTTAGCATGATATTCTGCTATGAAAGAAAAAGAAATAATCTCAGATGTTATATATTCTTCTTCAACCAATTCTGTATTAACTTTAGCTTCTAAAATTCCTGAGATTTTTACTAGAATTATAATCCAGCACAAAGGAAACCTAAAACAAAATATTTTTAAAATTTATTTTTAGTGATTAAAATATTATTACACTAGGGCGACCATACTTACAGCAATTTTTCTGTATTGTAAAGCATTTTTAAAGTTTGTCCAGCAATTGGTATTGTGCAGCAAACGTACAGCAAAATGGCATAGGTATATATCCAGTGAAATGCTGTATTTATCCACCAAAACGTCACTACTGTCCAGCAATGGTAATACTTAATTTACTGAAACGTAACAAATTTAAATGTTATTTATCTTTAGTGAACTACATGCGCACTTCTATACTGCCGTTCTAGCAAGAACGATTTTATCTGCAAAATTAGCAGTTTTTTTTATGTGCATTTGTCTACATTTTATCTTTCTTGATACTGAAATGGAATGTCTTATTTGCAACAAAGGTACTAAAATGTTAAAAAGTTACACAAAAAAAGGTTTAAAAGATAATAAATATAAATTTTCAGATAGGACTTCTCTTGTTAGGATGGCAGTATATGACTTCTCTGTTTTTGTATTTTTATAGTTGGGAGTAGAGTTATGAGTATCGGTCAAAGGTATCAATACCGGTATCACGTCAGATACTTTGTGGTAGAGGCATCGATACTGTTCGATATTATGTTAAAGATATTTATATTTATAAGTCTCGAGTAACAAAGTATCAAAAAAGTAAAAGATTTTTTTTAAACGGCTGACAACCCCCATTCAACAGGACGGAGTAGGGAACTTAACTAATAACAAGAGTGCATCAGTAAAGTATATTCTGTAGTTGCTTTTCTTTCTCTACTGGTACTCTACCTGGTACAAGTTATAGTGTCAATAACTGGCAATTTACCTTATAATTAAATAACAAAAAAACTGTGGTAACGCTTAATCATATTACCAAGTTTCACTACATGCAAAAACTAAAATATTTCAGTACAAATATTTGAACAAACCTTATAATCTCTGACCACACACATAGGGATACAATACTTGCTTCTAAGTATCACTATGGCGATAGTATTGGTAATTCAGTATCAGTGCCTAAATATCGATACTTTGATTGTTTAATATCGTTACTTCTATTGTATTAAGGCATCAATAAGATCCCTATTATCGTGTAAAATAAATATAAGCAGTCATTTAATTGTATCTACTTGTTTACAATGATTTATTTTTTATTGTATTTGGAAATTGAAATTTTACCATCTAAAACAACAGACAATAAATTAGAAAATATGTATCTATTTTATTGAAAAGAAGAAAACAACTTACCAAACTTATTCAAACGTATAGTTTCCAATTTCTTTAAAATCTCAAATACGTACAAGAAAAAGTGACAAGTGACATTTTTTTATGTTTTGTTGGTTATGACAAACGAATGGCTATGTTCGATAACAAGATTGTGTCCATAGTACTTCTCGTGGAAACTTTTTTAGCAAGTTACTTAATTACGTTGTGTTATCATAACAGGCAGGTTAAATACGTAAGTAACAAATAGATGTTTCGCGAGGTTTTGATTTCCCTCAACAACTTCTCATTAACGTTGCAATTACGTTGTATGGGTATGTTATTATGTTCCCTTAAAACAACATCGCCGAAAGGCTTGGCAACGTTATGTGCTAGCTGGGGTTATTGCTAGAAAGCCGGATAGGTGTGGGTGACCGGCTTCTCCGGGAGGCATATCTGCTATAATTATTTCTTGTTGGACTTCGTGACGGGCTTCGGAAGGTTGATTTAGGTGAATTTCTGTCATCATTCGCTAAATAATTTGGAGTTTTTGTTTGAATTGAGATATTGTCTGGTTAGAAGATTGTATGCTTTGAAATAAGTATATCTATCTAAAAGATTTTTCAAAAAAGATAGTTCTATGGACTGGAATAGAAATAATTAAGCAGGGACTATATACGTAATCACAGTGGTATGTGAGAGGACAAGTGATTCACATAGGAGTATTTTGAGTTTTCTACTTAAAATATACGCGCTTCTTGTTATTCGCAAATGTGTACTGTACCGTATCTAGTTATTTTGTTACAGTTCGTACTTACTAAGGATATGCCATATATATTTATAGCATGTGATTATTTGTATCTTAGTGATGACGTACATGCCATAATCGATTAAATTGCCCAAAATGAAAATAAAAGATTTGCCGTGTCTTTTTCAACAATATCGAATTCTTTTATTAAATTGTAAACAATGATTTTAAAACTAATTTAATTTTTGAGAAATGGGTTTTTTTTTTTAGGTTTGGTTGACGACGAAGAAGAGGATACAAACGATGAATCAAAGTCAGTACCCTGTCAGAGGTGCAAGTTAGAAAAATGCGCCTGCAAACTTAAATCGAATAAACCTTGGTTATCCGAAAATGCCACTGCTCTCCAACACATTCAAAGTTCTGATCTTACGACGGCTGATATTCTTGAACGGGAAGTCAAAAATAAGAAAAGTATGATGAGGTAAGGTGTTATATTTTTCTTGTCGCTGTTTGCTTGTCTTTACCATTTCTTTATTTTGTTAGGTCTGAGCAAAAAGTTAAAGATGAAACGGAACCAAAACGGCTCTCCCCTTTCTCAGAAATGTCCCGTAGAGATGAAGGAGATGGCAGGAGTATTGCAGACTCAAATTCTTCAAGTTACAAAAACCAGTATCTCTCTTACCAGTATTCGGACAAGAAATCCGTCAAACCCGCGACTAAGCTGAGAACAATATCGCTACATCGAAGGAATATGGCGAGTTGACGTCTCAGAGACGCCTTGTAATAATTTTTTAAACTAAGTCCATTTATATAATTTACTTAAATATTATTTATGTTTTAAATTTGTACAATTTTGAAAAGCTTTAATAAAATTGGCCATTGTCTATATATTCTTTAATTACATTTATATTGTGAAACAACCCAGACAACACACATAGTCCAATGGACGTCCACTTTAGATCCAGTTGAGGGCCAGAACGTCCATATCCGTATTCGGACATCCAGTGTATGTCCGTTTATGATCATTAATTTTACAGCTGCATATCGATGCCCAGAAGACGTCTGTTTTTGGACTTAATTTTAAGTTTAGTATTATTTTGACGTCCAGTGGACGTCCATCTTAGGTCATTATTTATTTAGCCTACCAGATAATACCCATCTTTATATATTTTTAATAGAATTGGTCATACAAAATTAACAAATTAAATCCATTACATTTCATTCTATCAGCGGAAGTTTAAAATCTTACTAGTAAGAATTTTTCAAGTGGCTCCTTAGTCGAGGTCGCCTAGCGTTTGAATGTCCAGAAAGACAATGGACATGTCGTGAGTTCGATGCCTGCTCTGGTCAAGTGATTTTTAATAAAAAAAATTAATATATGGTGTATAGCGGGTCGCAAAAAAATTAATTATTAATGATATAAAATAGTATGGTGAGTTGCGGTTGTTGTAAAAAAAGTAGGGATGTGGTGTCAATGGGATATAATCCAGGAATGGACTTTTTTTGAATTTCCAGTATTGAACGTCCAAATATAATCCAGACTTGGACGTCCTATGAACGGCCAAAGTGTGCCATACTTTACTGGACGTCCATTGGACGTCGGAAGTTCAGAAAAAACTCATCTTTGGACGTCCAGATATCCAAAATTGGAAATCGAATGGAATAGAGTGTGGGAATTATAAAGAAATGAAATAAATAGCTATAACAAAAATAAGTAACAATATAAATTAATAATGAGCAACCTTTTATACAAACCGGCCATAATACTGTCCTGTACAATATTTATAATTTTTATACTAACCTATGAAAGGTTATTCCAGTGAATGTTTTACTCAAACGAGCATTGCTAGAGCAGAAAAGAATTATACATAAAATTGACAGAATCCACTCATAATAGTGGAGGGCCGATCCCACTATGCGCTTACACATGCCGTATCCCCAGGATGCCAGATCAATGAGTATTTCCGAGACTTTAGTGACTTAAATGTAATACATACATTTAGGTAGGAATTTAAAGGAACATAACATTCATTTAAACATGTATTCTAAATATAACATCGATGGGTTAAGTGGACGCACAGATTTAGGATATAGAGGTAGAATCAGAGAGAGATCTCTCTCTGATTTGTTGCTCAAACGTCCTAGGCAAATATTTATACCACTGCAGGAACGTTTCAGAAATGACTTAAACGTTTTTTTAGTAGAATAAAATCTATTATTTCTTTTCATAAATTTATTAAAAAAAAAAAATTTGGCAAAAAAAATTAAAATTGTTATTTATTACGCTTTGATTCATTGCGTCTATTTCTTTCCGGAGCCTTCTACAACCAGGCATCTATTTTAATTTCTATTTCTTTTTTGTTTACCAATTTACCGAATCTGAAAATGTTTTAATCAAATGACAATATAAACAATTGATATTAAGTTAAAATAATTACCCATAATGGCTTTAGCTATTTTTAATTTGGCGACTTCCTTTTTTCCAGTGCATGAAAAAACTTACACAACTCGTACCTTGAGGGGAGCTATGCATCTTCTGATAAATTCACACACAATATTGCTACCGTGAATTTCAAAATACAATACCTAAATAGACTAGAATGTATAAAAGCCATATTTTGTTAAAGGACATTGTTACCTTCTTCATTTTGGCTTGAATAGCTTGTACGTATAACTATTGTTTCTACATTTGCAAGGCCTGATCAAACTTTGAATTGAAAGTGATTTTTCATGTAGCTTTACCCTCAGAAATTCACAAACTATACACTTCAATCCGGCCTCCTATTATCACTTTTAGTTTATTTAAAAGTTTATAGAGAAGTTGTTTATTATTTTTAAACTCATCCAAACTTTATTACAAGCGAGGCCAAACACCATTTTATTTTCAACTGTCAACATTCATGAAATATCTGTCATATGTCAATTGTCATTGGACCTATTATACGATAGGCGTGTTCCGTTATAACTCCACGAGCAAATCAAATATCGTTCCATCCATACAATTTGTATAAATGAAACGACATTTTCATAAGTACTGTAGCTCAGTGCTACACTTTAACTGCAAAAAAATAGATTCCATCACGAGGGCTTCTGTCAATAGTGTATTTTTTTAGCTCGCGGAGGATTAACCGAACTCTCCTGCTGAATCAGAAGGAAGGATATATTCATCTCTGTCGTATTTGCTTTGCACTCTTTTATGGAGGAAATAATAAGATAAATTTGACTTGTAGCAGTTGTCTTGTGAAATAAAAATATTATTAAAAATGTTCAAATTTAATATTGGAGTTTGATATTATTGTAGATTTCAGGTGATTGCAGTAATTTTATAATTTCAAAATAATATTTAGAACGAAAATAAAATACCTGTACATAAATACGATGTTTCTAAAACGTTCTTGAGAAATCATTCCAGAAACGTTTCTTTAGAGACATCGTAGGGACGTACCATTTATGTCAGAAACATAGAAACATACAAGGAACCTAAATGGGATGTTCCTGGCAGATTGGTGTTATTAGGGGAAGTTGTAACACAAAAAAAAATCGAGTGTTTTTGGGTAAAAAATGTTATTGAAAACAAATCTAAAAGTAATTTTACAAAATAAACGCGTTCTGGACATTAATCTTAAAATTACTTGCACAAAAATAAAATAACTATCGGCATAAAAAAAAAATTATTGGTCCTTTAAATAATATAGTTTTATTACTTTGATATCTAGTACAATAAATAAAAAAATACATTTTAAATACACTGAATGCAGATAAAATATTTTTTATTATATCCACTCAGCGACGAAAAACTACTAGACAAATCTATTAATTCATAATTTTGCCATTTTTTATTGTAATAATTCAGATTGTGTTTATTATTATGTAGACAGAACTGTCACATCGACTGCTGCATTTAAAAGAAGGAGATAGCAGATAATTTTAGTAGGGATGGTTTGTGCGTGTATATTTTTCTGAGGAGCGAGCATGCGTTTTATGAATGAATCAGTCTTTACAATGGCCGCATTCAGCAGAAGCAACCGATTATCAAACGATAACTTAGCGGTGACTTATCGATTAGTGAATCTCCTGAATGAACTTTTTAGGCACTTTGACAGGCGACATAAAAGTGACATGTACTTCAGGAAAAAGTCATCATCTAAAACATAGGTACAAAATTTAGAATAAAACACCAAATAAATTACTCAACGACATAATTATAAATTAATGTATTTGCCTGATTTTAATGCATTCTGCAACACTTCATTACCAACTACAATATATTTCATATTGTTATAAACATGTATCACTTCAAAGTCTTTTATTTTAGTGAAAAATGACAAATTCAGTGTAAAAATGAATTCAAAATAAACATAAAATAAGGTTATGAGTTATGAGCACCACCACAAAACATTCACTTCAGTTGGTATGAGTTCTAAATCTAATCACGATGTGATAACTAATCGTATTTCAAATTCGATGTTTTAAATGGCGGCCGATAACTCATCATTTGATTACGAATCGCTCTTTTATATATCATTCAGCAAAAAATCATAAATCGATTGCTTCTGCTGAATGCGGCCATTTACTATGCATGCTTCACACTGCTGTCACATTTCAAAATTAATTGCGTACTTTCCTGATAAACACTATGCAACTATAATAAATACAACGAGAAAAAATATATTAAACTGATTTAGGGGTCTATTCTGTAAAAATTCCTTTATATTTAACGGCCTTTAAAAATATTGGCGGCCTTTAAAAGTATATTTGTATTCGTTAATTTACTTCTGTCATTATTTAAACAAATTTCTTTAAGGTAGTACTCTAATGTATTTTAAAGATCCGTTTAAATAATGACAGAAGTAAAGAAGAAAATATTTTTAAAGGCCGTTAAATATAAAGGAATTGTTACAGAATAGACAACTGGCATTAAGAATGCAAATTTACTTTCCCTAATGCAATTTTGAAAGCCTTTTGTGCGCTTTAGAGCTTTATGTTTAATCAATACAAAATTATAACCCGTAACAATACTCTCCCATACTCGCTTATAATAATTTGACGACTACCCAGACAAAACACATAGTCCAATGGATGTCCACTTTAGATCCATTTGAGAGTTCATATCCATGTTTGGACATCCAGTGTACATCCGTTTGATTATTAATTTGACAGCTGCATATCGATACCCAGAGGACGTCTGTTTTTGGACTTAATTTTAAGTTTAGTAGTATTTTGACGTCTAGTGGACGTCCATCTTAGGTCATTATTATTGAAGTTTCACCAATGGATACTGTTATTAAATTTGCTATTTCGGAAAAAGAAAACTTGAAAGACTTTTCGTAATACTTTAATCAAATAATTGTTTTATATATCAATCAATATTGAAAAAACCTTAACTACCAGAACAAAAGCAAATAGAAATCAAGTAATAGTCTGTAGATAATAAGGGTATGTAAATATGTAGATACATCAACACCTTCCCTCATTGAATAATTTATTATCTTCTATTATTAAGCCAATGTTCTTCATTAAATATTCGAGCCTGAGCCTTGAAAGAGGTTTTGTCATCATGTCAGTTAATAAATGTTCTAAATCAACCTTAACTTCGTTAATGGAGCCTTCGGTTACCAATTCTAGAACAAAAAAATGTCTTGATTGGATATGTTTTGTTCTTCTATGATATTCCGGATTTTTAGCTAACGTAATAGCTGTTTCATTATCAACTAGTAGATCCGGAATACACTGCAGATCTACAGGTATTATAAAGAAGTTTTAGCCAAATTAGTTCTCGGACTCCTTCACTGGCGGCTACTATTTCTGCCTCTGTTGTAGAAAGATCTACAGCTCTCTGCTTTTGGCTTAGCCAGAAGATAGCACCATTGGCATACTTGCAGACA